CGGATAGGAGCTCTAGCTTGAAGAATGAGTTTCGGACCTCAACCCTTAGATAAGTGCTTTTTTGATTTCAGTGTCAGCCCACTGTCCGTTCAACTCAAAAGCTTTCGAAAAATTATTCCTAGCGTCACAAAAGTTTACCTGACAATATGTACCGTACCTGACGTTCCCGCATTTCCACCATCTTTGCCATGGTTTCCTTTATCTCCTTGCAATCCCCAGACTGTCCTGCAACCGTTAGCCTTACACTGAGCAAATGTCCGTGATGGTTTCTACGAATATTTGTAGTTAAACAGAGCCATGTTACTTATCGTACATGATGTGGCAAGTTGCCATTTGTTGATATTTTCCTCAGACCAAGTTAATTATTGGTGTGGAATATACATTCTGGAGGGTAATTGAGTCACAAAAATTACCCCATTTCCATCTGACAACTGCAACAACAACAACAACTGTTCTCTATCTTAGTTCACGATAAAAAGCTCTGAAACAATGGAAGACGTTTAACGGGTCTATATATCTTTAACACACGGAGAACTGGGAAAAAACGAGAGAGTTATGTAAACCCGAGATGTAGTTTCAATTAATTTTAAGAAAACGATAAAGGACCTACGTTAGTTTATAAATATCATTGCAGTATTTGCGAAAATTTGTAACGTCACAACCGTGTTTGAATACTTTCGTTTAAACACACCTGTCGACCGTTCTGAGCAAGTATGGTATCTCAGTTTTTCTGTAAATGTATATAAAATCTTCTGAATCTGCATGATAACGAATTATTGCTCTTGACGTTGGGAGAACGCATTTTCGTTTTGATTTTATCTAGATGTTGTGCTATTTCACGGTTTGGGCGCCATCTTGGACTGGCTGACCTCTCGCCTCGATTTCATGCTAAAGATTTCAATCCTGCTCGCTAATTGAAGTCGTGCGGTATATGTTTCGTTTTGGGCTGGATGCCATGGGAAATATATTGATAAACTGCAACCATTTGAACGAACAAAATAAATCCCCACAAATCAAAACTGTGAGCCCTGCCACCATTTTTTGTTCGTAAGTTTAATCATACACCAGATTTTGTTGCGCCGAGGCAAAAATATTCACTCTAAAGCTAGATCGGTCTTACTTACCTAATCCATGATTACACCTAGCTAAACAATTATCACTTTTACATCACCGTACCGCGTCAAGCCTGTCCTCTCCGTTTTTTCCGTCAGCACCTGCTTGTCCTTGATTTCCATTTCCACCATTGTTTGTAATAAACATGTGGCCTTCTGATAGTTGGGCGTAAA